AAAATTCTTCAAGATATAGGAATACCAGGGCACCTGACCTGACCCTGAGAAATCTGTATGCAGGTCAAGAAGCAACAGTTAGAACTGGACATGGAACAACAGACTGGTTTCAAATCAGGAAACGAATATGTGAAGGGTGTATATTGTCACCCGGCTCACTTAACTGATATGCAAAGTACATCATGCAAAATGCCAGGCTGGATGAAGAACAAGCTGTAATCACAATTGCTGGGAGAAATATCAATAACCTCAGATATGCAGGTGTGAGAGTTAGACTGTAAAGAAAGTTGAGGGCCAAAAAATTGATGCTTTTGAACTGTGGTGTTGGAGAAGACTCTTGCGAGTCCCTTGGACTGCAAGGAGATCCAACCAGTCCATCCTAAAGGAGATCAGTCCTGGGTGTTCATTGGAAGGACTGATGCTGAAGCTGAAACTCCAATACTTTGGCCACCTGATTGGAAGAACTGACTCATTGGAAAAGACCTTGACACTGGGAAAGATTGAAGGCGGGAGGAGAAGAGGACAACAGAGGATGAGATGGTTGGATGGTATCACTGACCTGATGGACATGAATTTGAGTAAGCTCCAGGAGTTGGTGATGGACAGGGAGGCCTGGCTTGCTGCAGTCCATGGGGTCGCAAAGAGTCGGACACGACTGAGCTCCTGAACTGAACTTGCGTAAGGGGAGTGGCTTACACAACGCCAGAAGATAGAAATCACCTGGGGCCAGAAAACACTGTCTTGAGCCCAGGCCTGGGCGCATCAGACACACGTGTGTTCTATTTCAAATCCTCTCCACCCCCACCTCTTACTCAACCCACTGCTGCAGCAAAGCCCCAAGTCTTGATTAGCCTTACACAGGCTGATGTCTGATTCAGACCACGGTATTCCAAGGGGTAGCATGGATGGACAGAGAAGGCAATGGCACCCCACTCCAGTACTCTTGCCTGGAAAATCCCATGGATGGAGGAGCCTAGTAGGCTGCAGTCCATGGGTCACTAGGAGTTGGACACGACTGAGGGACCTCACTTTCACTTTCCACTTTCACACATTGGAGAAGTAAATGGCAACCCACTCCAGTGTTCTTGCCTGGAGAATCCCAGGGACAGGGGAGCCTGGTGGGCCGCCGTCTATGGGGTTGCACAGGGTCAGACATGACTGCAGTGACTTAGCAGCAGCAGCAGCATGGATGGACAGCAGTGGAGTGTTTCCTGAGCTCTATTTATAAGGGGGGGGGGGGAAGCTTAAGAGCTAGAAGAAAGAAAGCTGAAATTAGATACTACAATGAAAAAAATAAGGCCCTCTGCCTGGCTCCCAGGTAAGTTCATCCATAGACCCAGAGCCCACTCACTGAAGGGGAGGTTGCACCCCCTTGAAGAGGAGTCCAGGCAGTCCATCACAAGTATAAACAATGAGCACTCCCTCAATCTTTCTCCAAAGTGACCTACGGACCCTTACCAGAGTACTGTGTACTGGGGAAAGGGGAATACAGAGTTGCTTCGACCTTAGGCTGCTATGAGAAATCATAAATGCCAGTTACTACTGTTTGTCTGATTAGAGAAGAAAGTTGAGGACAGGTGATAAATGAAATCCCCACCCTGGTCCAAGTCACAGTGAAACCCATAGTTATTTCTCCAGTAACTGAGTCTATAATTGGGACAGGTAAACTTAGAAAATGGAAACCCCTCATATCAGCTCCCTGAATTTTGACGTTAGAGCCTTTAGGGTCATGTAGAAGGCCTGTGTGATTTTTACAGTTCTAACAGCTCTAGGTGATAGGCACATGCAAAGCAAAATTAGACACCACCCATTTTCTTCCTAGGAGAAGGCAATGGCACCCCACTCCAGTACTCTTGCCTGGGAAACCCCATGGATGGAGGAGCCTGGCAGGCTGCAGTCCATGGGGTCACAAGAGTCGGACATGACTGAGCAACTTCACTTTCACTTTTCCCTTTCATGCATTGGAGATGGAAATGGCAACCCACTCCAGTGTTCTTGCCTGGAGAATCCCAGGGACGGGAGAGCCTGGTGGGCTGCCGTCTATGGGGTCACACAGAGTCAGACATGACTGAAGCGACTTAGCAGCAGCAGCATTTTCTTCCCAGCTATCATTTGAGGGGGGATGAAAAGTGCTGAAGCCAGAATGAGCCCCGAGGGGGGGGGTGATGCAAGGCACACTGGGCACCCCAGGTATGCTCTCCACCCACTAGTCTAATTTTGTAAAAGGTAATTACCCCTGAGGAGAGTCACACATTAACAGGAAGTCAGTTACACCCTCTCTATCATCCATCAGAGGATCTTCTTGGCCTTATCTAGACACTCACATGATAATCACAGGCCGCCACTGGTCTGCTCAGAGCAGTGTAGGGCAGGCCCACAGGTCGCCAGCAGGGTGGCACCAGGGTCTCCCGCGGTGGAAGTCTATATCAGCCTGCACAGCCCTTCCGCACTAGCTTTGGCTCAGCAGCTAGGGGTGAGAGCCACACTGGCAGGTGTGGGAGCTAACCTGGCTGAATATCCTCACTCCTCAAAGTAGCCTCTCCTATAACAACTCCCTGGACGTAGCTTTCATTCCCTCCAGGGATACCTCATTCTAAAAGTCACCACACCCAGGGAGGCCTCAAGAATCGTGTCCTTAGCAGGATGCACGGTCTTTCATAGCTCCTCCCAGCCCAGATAAAACTGACCAGTCAGGGTCATTTTTATCATCAGCCTTGTTACTTGGAAATACAGTTTGCATTTTACCCTTAAGAGGTTGCCAGAGTAATGGCTGTGTGTGTGTGTGTGTGCACACGCGCATGTGCGCACACACATGCACTCAGTCATGTCCAACTCTTTGTGACCCTATGACTGTGGCCCGCCAGGCTCCTCTGTAACTGGGATTTCCCAGGCAAGAATACAGGAGTGGGTTGCCATTTCCTTCTCCAGGGGATCTTCCCGACCCAGGGATCGAACCAGAGTCTCCCGCATTGGCAGGTGGATTCTTTACCACTGAGCCCCCTGGGAATTTCCGCCCAACATAGGTGTCCAGCTACCCAAAGGACAAGTGCTCATGAAGGGAAATTGGTTTACTCCTTACTTTAGCCACCCTGGCTAAAGAGCAGGCTCTACAGATTCTGTCCTTTCTTCAGGACGGAGCTTCTGTAGCTGCAGCGGTGTTGCGACGTCTTTGGGGAGCTGCACAGAAAAACATGGGTGGATGGAGAGGAAATCCAGAACCAGCTTTATCTCCTCCTCTGGTTTTTGTTTTTTTTTTTTTTTTTAAACAAACCCTCTTTGAAATTGAGGCTGATGTTCTTGTTTGTTTCAAATAGGGAGGCTGTGGCGGCCACAATGCAGACAAATCCCTTAGGGCTTCATCTGACACCAGAGATTGAGGTTCTGGGACCTACTAAAGCAGAGTGCAAACACCGCCCCTTCTCTGCTGTATCCTTCAAATCAGGCAGGACAGTCTTACCCAGGTGGATCAGATTGTCTTCCTAGTGAGAATGCAGGTCTCAGGAACAAGATTCTGTTCAACTTTGCTAAAAGGATTGCTGACTCTTTTCTCCCGCTTTGAGTTACATTAAGAATAGGTCTTCTCTCCTCTTGTTTGATGGGTGCCATCCCCCAGGAGATGAGAGGAGGCCAGGAACTCACTCTGCACATACATACTTTCAACTTTACAGGAGCCTGCCTTGTTGATTCCAAGAAACTGAATGTCCATGAGAAAAGTTTTGTCCTGAAAGAAGACCTCACCTCTTCCCCAGGCTGTGCAGCAAGCGAAGCCTCTAGGGAGACGCGCCTGTTCATCTCCAGGGCCTGCTCCGTCCTCCTTATGGCCAAACTCACCCTTACAGCTTGTGGACTGGCACCAGCCCCATGGAGAAAACTCAGTTCTCTTCTTCCTCCGCAAGTCTGATATGCTTCTTTAATGAGTCTGGTGGTGCTTTGGTCAAGTGTCCAGAGAGACAAGAACAGACTTGGAGGGGGCTGGGAGGATGGGGAGATGAGGACAGATGAGCTGGCATCTGTGGGAGAAGGAGAGCTGTGCGGTGATTCCTTAATGAATTTATTCAAGGGCGGAGGTGGGGGAGATGAAATATGGGGCAGCCTGAGAGGACAAAGGGAGAGAACGAGAGAAAGCGAGCAGATGTTGTGAAAGATACTCTTTCGTGTTTCCTGCGCACTGGCAATCTGCAGATGTATGTTGGCAGGGCTACAGTCAGCGAACAGAGGGAGGCTGGAGTTTACACATCTGGAAATCATTTGGCAGGGGGCAGAGTTCAAACGCTTTCTGCCTCAGCCGCTTGCAGACCTTCCTTGCCGCGTGGGCTGTGGATGGGTGAGGGGCCGCCAGGCACAGAGTCCCTCCAGCCTCACTCTGGGCGGAAGCCCCACCTAAGCCGGTGGGGTTTGCCTCTGTACGGGTTCAGTCACGCGGAAAAGTTGAAATGCTGATAAAAAGAGAGAACGGGACCAGGGAAGGACAGGAGCAAAGTGGAGAAGGCACCAGAACGGAGAGAAGCCTGGCTGGAAATCAAGAAACAAAATGTACTTGGACCGAGTCCAGAGCATGAGTTAACTGGAGAGCAAAGAACTCCATTCAGTGGAGGAGAAGGAAAAAAAAAAAAAGACTCCTCTGCGGCATAGTAACACCCAGGGATCATGCTCACGCCACATTTATTTTTCTCAGAAATCCCTGTCCATGTTGCCTTCATTGGTTGCAGGAATGCGGAGGGCCCTCTTGATCCTGAGGGAGGATCCCTTGGGAAGGATTTATGGGGTTCTGCAAGGAGACAGCAGGGTCTCCCAGCACCGGGTTATCACCCCACTGACCCAAAGCCTCTGTGGCCACTGGGAGACAGAGTCCTCCCTCCCAAAAGGGGCAAGGTCAGCTCGGGCGTTTAGCTTCCCTCTGAGGAGAAACACATCCCTGGTGAACTTGTGTCCCAGCGCAAAGACCCTGCCACGCTCAACGGAGCAGACACGCTGGCTGCAGCTGCTGGGGGGCGCGGCGCGGGGCGCCACGTGGCCTGTGTGGGAGGTGAACGCACCGCGAGTGGTCCTGAGTTAGAGGCACACGGGCTCACCCAGGTGGGGTAATAAGGTCCAGGACCTCAGAAAGATCAGAGTCCACCTGGGGAGAGAACAGAGCACATGAAAAGACAAGTTACAAAATACAACCGAATGGAATAAAAGGCCAAATGTGAGATCAAACACACTCTGATGGATCACTTCATAACCCCCACCCCCACCCCAAACCTGCTTAACTTCCTGTCCCCTCTACCTAACTGGAAGCCTCTGCCTTCCCCAGGCTGCCCATGCCAGAAACGGTCGTTACTGCCCCTCAGCTCATGTCAGATGTGGCCACAGGTCCTGCTGATTTATGCCTTCACCTCTTTTGCACGTGTCCATCACCCGCTGCATCTCTAGCCTGAATCACTGCCGCCGCTTCTGAATCAGCCTCGCTGCTGCCGATCTGATCCCCCGAGTCTGCGCTCGGAGTTCTCGGTCTGAAGGGAAATCTGAATGTGTCACTCCTGTAAATGGTTCAGCAGTCTTCCACAGCTTTCAGGATAAAGCTCAGCCTGCGAAGCATGACACAGAACATCATCATGACCTGGCTTTTGTCCACGATCAGAACCTCATCTTCAGCGGTGCGCTCAGAAATGTTTACCAACCAAGGCCTCCAGACACAGCATGTGTCATCTCACACAACACACTCCCCCTGAGCAATGAAGTTCTTCCAACTCCCTGGCCATAACCACATCTCTCCCTCACCTGGGCCTCTGCACATCTTTCTCTCTCTGCCCAGAAAGACCTTCCTCCTGCCTCTCCCCCATGCTCACATCCCCCAACCCACCTTCCAATCATCATCCTTCCAGACCTGGCTTCCACCAGGAAGTCAGCCCTTAGCAGTCCTGTCCAACTCTTTGCCACCCCATGGACTATAGAGTCCATGGGCTTCTCCAGGCCAGAATACCAGAGTGGGTAGCCTTTCCCTTCTCCAGGGGATCTTCCTGACCCAGGGCTTGAACCCAGGTCTCCCACATTGTAGACAGATTCTTTACCAGCTGAGCCACAAGGGAAGGTTGCCATTTCCTTCCCCAGGGTTAGCAAGCACAGGGGTCACCAAATGCTGCCTTTTACATGTGCGGGCGGGACTGTTGCTGTATCAGGCACCTTTGAGGACAGCACTGTTTTTATCTTTGCATCCACATTGCCTCCCACACTTTCTGGCACATAGTAGGTTTTCAGTTGTCACTGAAATGCAGAATATAAACACTGCTAGTTTTTAACTTACTACTTATGCTCTGCCCTCTGGTAAAAAGATTCAAGGTTGTGAATGAATGCTATAAGCCTTTTCCACAAACACAGAGCTCTGGGAAGTACAGAAGTCAGAGTGGCCAGAGAAGACTTCTTGGAGTAGAGTTGCCATAATCAGCAAATTAAAATACAGGATGCCCAGTGAAATTTGACTTTTAGGTAAGCAATGATTTTTTTTTTTTTGTAAGTTCCTATGCAACATTTGCAAAATACTTATAGTAAACAAATATTCATTCACCTGAAATGCATATTGAACTGGGCATCCTGTATTTTATCTGGTAACCCTATCTTTGAAGAGGCTGCATTTGAGCAAGAGCTTGATGGATGAGTCAGATTTAGAAAGGGCAAGAGAAGGGGGACTGGTTTTTCTCACTGGAGGCTGGTGGGAGGGGAGAGGAGCCAAGTGCATGGAGACCAGGACCTGTAAGGAATTTTCAGATTGGTCTTGTTAGAGCATGAAGTTGGTGCTCACAAAGAGAGGCTGAAAAGGAGAAGAAAGTTGAAATGGAAATGGAAGTGATCAGAGAGAGAGGACCACTGCCATTACTTAGATATTTGTTCAGTTTAAAAGTCCTGAACTGGCCCAGAGGCGATTGGAAAAAAGGACAGGAAGAAAGGGCAGATTTCTAAGTATGTTGGGGGATGGGAAGGAGATCTAAGGAATCCACTAAGACTTAAGGCTCAAGAGGAGAAGCCAGCTTAGAAGGGGCAGTCAAAGGCGGATGAACTTCATTCAGACCAAATGACACTGATGTGAAGGCAGGACCCACAAGGAGGGCTGAATACCAAGTAGGAGAGGAGATGCTGGGGCCTCGGCGTGACAGTGGTCATGGAGTGTCCCTCCATAACTGACAGGGATGGTCTGCGAGGGTTCTCAGCCACTTACATGCTCCCCGTACATGACGGAGGAGGACTGGCGGGACGATCACCACAAATAGCCAAGGCAGTGTGACAGACCACTAATACGCTCCCCCGAGGACTCGCCTCATTCCAGGCCTTCTCAAGAGTCCGCCAGGCCACTCGAGAGATGTCTCACTCTTCTGTTTCATGAAGGATTGATAGATGTAGTTCACTGCAAGACATTCAAAAGATGGAAAAGGGCATTTCCCCACTAAGTTACCTAAATGTATTGTAAAGTTCAAATTTAATACACTTCAAATCTGTGCCTGATCAGAGCAAATTGTTTATCTATGTGAAATTGGCAAAGGGTCAGTCTGTGGATATGAAAATATTTTGAAAATTATACTGTACTATACAAACCTAAGGATATTATTCATATAAATGGAGTCTCTAAAAGGTAACAGACAATAATCACCCAGATATCCAAAATTATGTTTGCTTTTTGCTAGATGTCTGGATATTTCAAGACATCAAATTCAGTCCTTTCCCTAATATTACCCATGTCCTTCTTGTCTTATTTTTACATAGCACTTATCACCATCTATCATACCTTATATCCAGTTCAGTTCAGTTGCTCAGTCATGCCTGCCTCTTTGCAACCCCATGGACTGTAGCAAGCCAGGCTTCCCTGTCCATCACCAACTCCTGGAGTTTACTCAAATTCATGTCTGTTGAGCTGGTGATGCCATCCAACCATCTCATCCTCTGTTGTCCCCTTCTCCTCATGCCTTCAGTCTTTCTCAGCATCAGGGTCTTTTCTAATGAGTCAGTTCTTTGCATCAGGTGGCCAAAGTATTAGAGTTTCAGCTTCAGCATCAGTCCTTCCAATGAACACCCAGGACTGATCTCCTTTAGGATGGACTGGTTGGATCTCCTTGCAGTCCAAGGGACTCTCAAGAGTCTTCTCCAACACCACAGTTCAAAAGCATCAATTCTTCAGCACTCAGCTTTCTTTATGGTCCAACTCTCACATACATGACTACTGGAAAAACCATAGCTTTGACTATACCCATTCCCCATATGGAATACCTTATTTTGTGTTTTCCCTGATTACTCCACAAGACTGCATGAGCATTGAGGGCAAGAATTTATATCTCTTTTGTTGATGGCTATACTTCTCCATGCCCAAAGCAAAGCTTATTTCTGACTAAGTGAATTCACTTTAGTTTTCTAAGGGATGATTAAGCTTATGTAAATATATTTTGATTGCTAGGAAGTATCCTAAAGACAAACATGAAAGAAATATCCAAATTACAATATCCACTGTTCTACAATTAGGTATCAGTCATGCGAAGTCATGAGGACACACTGTCCATGTAAACTTGATTGTCCTAAAAATAAGATACATGTAGACCAATGCTAAGTTCCTCCTGGTAGCATACACTACAGGCATCTCAGGTGACCCACAAGAGTTCGTTTCCCTCCCTTAGTATGGATCTTGCTAAGCTCAGCTGTTTGATAGCTCTTCTCATGTCCCTAGAGGCCTCAGGTCCTCACCACACCTCTGCTGAGGGTTGATTCAACAAAGACCCCATGTGGACCGTGCCTTTCCCCCTCTTCCTAGGACAGTGTGTTTGTCTCAATCTGGAGAAGAGAGCCACATTTTAATTCCAGTTTCAGAGCTCTGGTGTCTATTTGAGCCTATGGTTCTTCTTGCACAGTTCATTCCCCTGTTGTTGGTAGCAATCCTAACTGTCTTAGAGTGATGATTGGACACCACCTTGCACATGGTGTTCTGCAGAGTAAATTCAAGAAAAAGGATCCCTGCTCAGCTTCCCAGCATGAACTGGCATCCCTAATGTAGACAAACACACAAAAAAAATACACCGCAGCTGAGGCTCAGATGAGCCTTGAAAGGCATCCAGCTGCACTCTTAAACCCAGCTGGTATGTGTCCTGGTTAAATAACGGAACAGACTGGCAAGTCCCGGAGAACTCAGTGCTGAAGTCCAGAAGGCTGTCATGTCTGTGTGTGTTTGGCATCCCTGGGAGGCAGGAGGATGGTGGGGAGAAAGATTTGGTAGCAAGATGTTAAGGAAGCTGGAGGTGTCGTAACTAAGAAAGACCCTACTAAATAGCTGACTCGTTGGAGTCTAGTTTTAAGGAGACGGGTGGAAATCAGCAGTGAGAGGTGGGCCATGAGGCCCACAGAAGGCATACTAGAGAATCACGGATGGGGATGTCTGAATCCCAACAGGTCCTGGAGGAAACCTCATGCACCGCTCACCACTCGCTCCACCCACTACTCTGTCTTCTCTCCTGTGTCGAGCAACTGACCACCTAAAAGCCAAAGAGGAGGCGCCCCTGCTGTTTCCTCCGACCTTGGGGCACTGTCTCCAGCAAGCTCTTCTCTTCCTCTGGAAAGTCATCCAGCTCCACAGAGCCCAACAACCCTTTCTCCTTTCCATCCTGTCCTCAGCAGATTCATGCAGTGTTCCTTTGGCCTCCTAATTACTGCCAGACGCAAAGACGATGGGCCAGCCTTTATAGACACTATTACTGCCAGATCCTCTTCCCTCCACTGTCTGGAAGCCTGTCTCTATTTAAGCCTTAATCCTTTTTGCCATTTTTGACCTAGTTCCCATTATTTTATATTTTTCCATATTAAGTTAAATAAGCCACTTGTCAGCCTGCATATATCTTATTGAATCCAGCTCTTCTTTTGTGACTCAAATGAATGCCTAATGGAAAAAAAAAAAAAAAACTACACTGGCCAGTTCCAGGGATTTATCCACTTTCTTAACTTCCAGCATAAAGGACTAGATGGAAAGTCCCTTTTAAAATGCTGGTGATATTCCTTAACTAGGCAAAGAGAGCCTGTAACTCACTACCATTCTACTGCCTACAGTCTTCAGATGGACGAATATGTTTAAATATACCAAAAATATTTAATGAACATGGATGAAGCACTCCTTACAACTGGGATATCTACCCATTCCTCAACGAAAAACTGATAAGAGTGGATGAATGTGTTTCACAGATAAGGAGAAAGAAGAAGCTGAGCAAGAGGAGAAAAGGAGAGTGAGGAATCAAAAGCACAACAGACACTCACCGGAGGCATAACTGAACCTCCCTCCGCATCTGGAGCCCCATGTAACTGTAATGTGAAGCCGAACAAAAGCCAAAAAAGGCTCCACTGTGGAAAATATTATTTCTTGAAGCATGCATGCCATGACCACAGGTCTGAACAAAGACACCTTTCCTCTCATGATAAATAATCCACAGACTGGCACCCGCCCTCTTCCTAGCATGTTTCAGAAGGAATTACCTGCACTGTTTGTACCACAAACTCTTTGCACCAAACCAAACTTTTCAAGGCTCTCTCTGTGGCTTGAATACACTCTATCTTGTTTGTCCATCATTTAGGGAGACATTAAGACTACTTAGTGGTGTTTTCATGTGCTATTCTTAGTCTATTTTTCTCCTCCAAAATCAAGTACTTTCACAGCTGACCAACTGAAATTGAAGAGCACGTGGACCTCTCAGAGATCGCACCCAGAAACAGTAATGTCCAGGTGGTTTTACAATCTTGGCAAGGAGTGCTGACTGCCTTGCCCTGGCTGGTGGCAACCCGCCTTGCGCAATCCAGAAACCGTGTCAGGGACAGGTGAAAAATAGGAAATAAAATTTACTGGTTTTGACCCTCCAAGAAGAGGAGCTGAAGCTTATTTTTTTCAATTCTCATTGAATTGTAGAATCAATCCTTTCTATTTTGAAAGAGCAGTTTTCATTATTGATAAAATACCAACTGTAAAAAATAAAGTACACTCACTCTGACAAAAATATGGTATGAACTTTTCAATGCATTACTTTAACACAACCATCTTTCAGCTTGGTACTATTATGATGTACATTTTATAAGAGGAAACCTGAGATTTAATTAGCTAACCAGTATCAATGGACACTGCGGATAAACACAGGTTCAATTGAACTCAGAGAACATGATCTGGCTACAATGCTTTAAAATACTTTCATGATGGAAATGTTTTTCAATTAGATATGTAAAAAGGAGAGCAAAAACAATTTTCACCACACTCAGAAACAACTTGATAAAACCTCTTTTACAAACTTTGTACATATACCCCCAATTAAAAAAAAAAAAAAAGAAAGATCATACTTAACATACTGCTGTAAAAGCTTTGTATTTTCATTTGAAACATACTGTGGAGGTCTTTTTATGTCAATAAATACACTTCTACCCTATCATATTTAATAACTGTTTTCCATTGTTATCCCTACACCATAATGTATGTAATCAATCTTCCTTTTGGACATTTTGGTTCTTATACAGAATGCTGTGATAAATAATCTAATAGATGACTTCTTCATACATCTTTAGATTTCTGAGATAAATTCTTAGAAACAAGATATAGTTTTTACATATCGCCAAATTGCCTTGGGAAATACGTGAACTTTCATTCCTGTCAAAAATATACTAAATCATTCTCATCCCCCACCATTACCAGCATTGGATATTTTATCATCTTTGCCAATTTAAAAAGGGAAATAATAAGATCTCATTGATGGTTTAGTTGCTCTTCCTTTATTAGTTCTGCCGATCGAACACTCTTCTTTTTTGGTATTTGTATTAGTCCTTTTGTGAATTCTATACTTATGTGAATAGCTAATTTTTACTTCCCAGCTCACTAGATAGTAATCACTTGCCAAAATAATGTGTCAAATATATTTTCCCAATTTTTTCATTTGTTATTAATTTTTTAGTTTTTTAATAAAAAAAGTTCACAATTTTTCTTTTCTTTTTTGGTTTCTGTCATTGACATCATCCTTACAAAGAACCTCCCCCTCCTTCAAGATTATTTAAAAAACTTAAATTTCGTTATTGTACTTCCAAAGGATTTTTTCACATTTAAATGTTTAATATCTAGCATTTCTTGGTATAAAATATAGCTTATTTCTTATAATTTTTAAACCAAATGTCTAAACACCATTTACTAAATGATCTATAAAATCATACCTCATTTATATTTTTTTATTTTATACCAAAACTTTATATATTTAAGTTTATATATATTTCTAGAATTATTGTTCTACTCCATAGATTTTTTCCTTCTGATTCCTAGGCCATTATTATCTGTTCTAGTCATTACAGCTTTATAAGCCACATCAATGTCTCAGAGGACAATTTTCCCTTCATTATTACCAACTGTTTATT